GTTTCCCACTAATCGTTATTAATGCAAACAACCAGTAAAAGTCGATATGATAGTATTTAACTGGGGGGGGGACAAACAACCACAGAAAATCGATACAACGATTTGTTTGTAACTTATAAAAGGCGACGCACAGCCATCCAAACTGAAGCTGTCTCGACTCTCTGTGACTACCTTTAATGCGTAAAAGTAACCGGCAACTCACCCGCCGTTTGATATTCAACTCCTTTGTTTTAACTACATATAATTTATGGTGATCCTGGAAACATATCTATAAATTACCGTAGAATCAGAATGCTTTGCTGATCAAGTAGGCATGTTAATGATTTGACCATTCTGAATCTGTAACACAAAGCGATATGAAGTAACACATTTTCGCTAACTAAAAGGCTAACATGTTTTTCAACATGTAAACAAATGTATGGTTATTTTCATGGCAAGAAGAGAGATGTGAGGAGGAATGGCAGAGTGGTGATGTGGTAAAGAAATGGCAGGGTGATGAAGCAATGGCAGACTGAGAGATAATAGAATGGCAGGGAAGTAGTATGCCCGACGAATGGCAGAGGGAAGGTGTGCAGAGCCCGGACGTCTCTCCAGGTGTCCGGGCTGAAAGCGAATATGAATGTATCGATTTTGCAAGAATGGGAGCGAAACCATTAACTGATTACAATTATTTTTTTTCAATGGAAACTCTTGAACTACTCATTGCTAGTTAATATATGTATCAAATAATTGGACATTTAACGCGATTTCCCCAAACTATTTAATGCGATTTCCCCAAGCGATATGAATAAAACCAAAATCCATCTGTTCCAGCAAATTCTAGTCCTTGCAAACTTCAGATATATTTTTTTAGGTTTCAAACTTCAGGAATCCGAATTCAAAATGCATTTTATACTGCAGGGTAGCTTGAAATTTTGTGCATCAGAAACGGTATGGTTGAAATATTCACTTTGAGTCTTATGGATGACTTCAGTTATATCTTCCCCTAGATAGGGGAGGACAGGGGCCTCCACTCGTCTAAATCCGGTCCAGGCTTGGTGGAGAGATGGAGAGGGCTGTAGGGCGATGGCAGACAATAATCATTTCTCTTTATTTTTTCTTCCAATCGATTAACGAAAAAAGAATCGATATAATCCATTACCACTTGCTTTCCATGTCTGTGAGGGTTTGAGGACTACGGAATCGAGCAATACGTGTGCGTTGTTGGTATCATCAATACAAAGACGGTTAGAAACAGCGTAAACACGTATTCCTTTAAAACTAATGAATGAAGGTATCATCAAGAATTCTTTTCTTTTCATTGATCAGCATATATTGCCAAACATGCTGCCAAAAGCCACATAAAACATTTAAATGAGATATTAAGTAAAATAAAACGAACAAACGTAATGATTATTATGCATAAAGAAACATCAGGTTTTTAAAATATTGAAATATCTAAAAATAACGTTGCTCTATTTTGAACAAAGGAATCGGTCCAGCGAAGCACCTTCAATTACCTGATTGTACAGCGCATTTGCAGCCTTCGGCTTGGTGATGTGAAGCGGGGCTGTCCATTTATT